GCACATACATACATTAACAAACAAATAGTGAAGGCTTGGACGGTTGCTATTTCCAACATTAGCAACAGATCTCACATCGAAATTAGATACGTTACTCCTTTGGGGTACAGTTCCCAGAATCCCCTAGCCAACATAGTTTGGGGGATTTTGGTAGTTTTACTTCAAAAGTCATTCCCACAGCTCTTTCCATATCGCATATCTGCTTTTTGTCTTCTAATTGCATAATATACCATAATATCGTTCCGTAAAAATGTTTATTAGCTTGAAATGTGAGTGGAATATTCTTTGTGTGTTGCAATTCTGAGAAGCAGTAATAGGTAGTAGATAGACGTCCTTCTCAGTGAAGGCAAGTGAGAGTGAAATGTAAGAACGTAAATATTAATCCATTAAAATTTGAGATGACATTGCTGGAAAGGCACAAGCCAAACAAAGCAGATGTCTATGATTTTGTCTTTCTTCTATAGGATCTCTTCTTTTAAGGATGTATGTAAAAAAATTTATAGAGACATCAGTAAGATGTTATTCACCAAAGCTTGATTTGAGTCACTACTGGCAATCTCATTAAGTTAGGATTCAGTATCCTGAAAGTCAACACACAAAATACCCCTTGTAGAGATTCTGTATACAGTAAGTTTAGTTTGTTATAAGAAACAGTCATCCCTAGAGATTTTTAATTCTTTATGCAATGATGGGACATTAAGATTTGTTGTGGAGTCCCATAATATGCATATTAATATGCATGCAGCAAAAGCTCTGCACCATAGATAATAATAATAATAATAATAATTATTATTATTATTATTATTATTATTATTATTATTATTTACTTCACTTGTATACCGTTTTTCTTCCCCCAGCGGGAGATTCAAAGTGTTTTCCAACATAATTATAGCAAAATTTAATATCACATACATAAACCTAACGTAACAATAATAACATACAATTATCAATTAAATCATAAAACACAACATCATCTAACATTAAAACATGGGATTTAAAGCATATCAATATAAACATTAAAATCCCACAATCCCACAATTGCAGTCCAATCTGTTAAAAATATCAAATCTATTACACATAATCCCTGATCATTCCTTGTAGTGCTACCTTCCCAAAGGTCTCATAGCCAAGTTTTTACTTTTCTTCCGAAAGCCAGGCAGAAGGATGCTGATCTAATTTTGTTGGGGAGGGAGTTCCATAGCCGAGGAGCCATCACTGAGAAGACCCTGACTCTCATGCCCACCAATCGCACTTGCAAGGGAGGTGGAACTGAGAGCAGGGACTCCTCAGATTATCTTAATCTCCGAGATGGTTCATAAAGGGAGAAATGTTTGGACAGGTAAGCTGGGCCAGAACCGTTTAGGGCAGTGGTTCTCAACCTGGGGTCCCCAGATATTTTTGGCCTACAACTCCCAGAAATCCCAGCCAGTTTACCAGCTGTTAGGATTTCTGGGAGTTGAAGTCCAAAAACATCTGGGGACCCCAGGTTGAGAAACACTGGTTTAGGGCTTTATAGGCTAAAGCCAGAGACTTTAAATTGTGCTCAGTGGCAGACTGACAGCCAACGGAGCTGGCGTAACAAGGGGGTTGTATGCTCCCTGTACCCCGCTCCAGTGAGTAATCAGGCTGCCGTTGGACCAATTGAAGTTTCTGAATAGTCTTCACATGCAACCTCACAGAGATTTATTGAATGTTACAATTTCTTGTTCTGGATTCCCACTAAATGACCAGATGCAGCTCACATTGTAATAGTCTAAAAGGAACCTTGATTTAAAAGCCTGTTTTGTATTGTACTTGAGTTATTTTTTGTTTATGTAGCATCCTTTGAAGACACACCAAATATGTGCAGTCTTTATGGACAGTTCCAAAATGTGTACTTCCCAGCCCAAGTTAGTTGATCTAAGTCAAGTGTCACATACAATCATGAGGACAAGGGACATTTTAACTCTAAAAGATGGTGCAGCATTTAAATCCAGAGTTGTTCATTGATACGTCACTCTGAATTTGGTCCATAGTGGTTACTCAGAGCCAGAGGGAAGCATAGTAATTCAGTGATCACAGTCAAAGGCCATCTGAAGACAAAAGACTTGTCTCTGTAGTTAACTGATCACTTGCTCATCTTAAATTGATGTGAATTCGTGCATCTGTCTTCGGCTTCTGATGTGCTGTGCAGTTGACATTGGCCTATTTCCGGCTAGTATCCTTGAAGTTCCTTTAGAATTAAAAGCCCTGTAAGTTTTTCTATAAAACTTTAAGCCTCATCCCTTGTATGGAGGCAAGAGTTAATATCCCTTGTGCCTCCAGTAGATCACCTGATACAAAAACCTATTTTTTGACTAGTTAAGGACTTTGAAGATCTCCTTCACCAGTTGCTCTGATATCCCAATGGACATAACAATGTGGCTCTTTGGAAAATGTATTTATTCCAAAACAGTGATGAATTGAAGGTGGTAGAAAGAGCTAAGGAAGTGGGTGTAACTGTCACATGGCTTTTCCTGCTTCTTGTTTATGTTTTAGCATTGAAAGAGGCACTCAGGAGGAGTCCTGATATGTGGTAGGGACTTTCATATTGGCACCACACTTTCGCTAAAGCACATAACTGAGAGGCTCTTGTTGGCCATCTTCCTGTTCTCCTTTGCCTTGAAAGAATGTTGCATAGGATAAAGGACTCGGTAAATTGGATGTGCTCATTTAGAGTACCACCTCTCACTAATGAAAAGCATAGTAAAGAAATGCCTTCTGAAAATATGACTCAAACCCATGCACGACAACAAAGACTATCTATGATACAGATGATACATTACATTTGTGGGTTTTTTTGAATCCACGCTGTCTCCTTTTTTAGCCCACCCACCATGGAGCCCCCTTGCGCTGACTGGATTGCCAACCGAAAGTTCAGCAAGTTCAAATCTGGAGAATGGGGTGCGCTCTCGTCTGTCAGTTCCAGCTTCTTATGTGGGGACATGAGAGAGGCCCCTCCCACAAGATGGTAAAACATCCGGGCATCCCCTGGGCAACATCCTTGGAGATGGCCAATTCGTTCACACCAGAAGCCACTTGCAGTTTCTCAAATCACTCCTGACACAAAAAAAAAAAAACCCCACCCACCTTCATATTTTATGTTCATTGCAGCATAATAGCAGTGGGAGAACTAGCTGTGAAGTTTGGCTTGGATTTGATGGAAAATGGTAATCACATTTTCTCTAGGAGGACTGTATAATTAGACTAGAATTTAGTGTTTTCACCCTCCAGAGAGCCAAGAAATCTGGTTCCAGTGGCATTCTAAACTTAACTGCAACCCCAAATGCACACATACTTGTTTTGAATATGAATCTCGCCCTCCAGTTTTCTAATAATGTTGCTCTGAAGAATTGTACTTGTATAAACTCTTCTACTGCAATAGCACAGAGAGCAAAATACATGCCAGGAAAGCTATAGTATCCTAATATATATATAGCATGCCATTCTCCATTTGCCAGAGTAGGAACCATCAATTTTACTACATTGCATGTTTCATGAGCAGTTCTGCCCTTTTTTAGACTTTTTCATGGCTTGAACATATAACAGACTCTGTTAGCTGTAGGGCACAAGGATGGCCAAGACGTGTACTAGGGGAGCACCTGACCCATTGCAACTCCTTGGACTCAGTGGTATCAAGAGCAGTCTTAACCACTATTATAAGGTGTCCCTGGTGGTGCAGTGGGTTAAACCTTTGTGCCAGCAGGGCTGCTGACCAACAGGGCAACAGTTCAAATCTGGTGAGAGAGGGTTGAGCTTCCTCTGTCAGCCCCAGCTTCCCATGCGGGGACATGAGAGAAGCCTCTCACAGGATGGTAACACATCCGGGTGTCCCTACTGCAGTACCTACTGATCTACTCACATTTGCATGTTTTTGAACTGCTAGGTTGGCAGAAGCTGAGGCTAACAGTGGGAGCTTACCCTGCTCCCCGGATTTGAACTGCTGACCTTTTGATCAGCAAGTTCAGCAGCTCAGTGGTTTAACCTGCTGTGCCACTGCAGTACCTTGACAATTGTCACATTAATGGGGGGGGGGCACTGAGAAATATTGGCTCTTGCGTTAGGTTGTCCTTTTTCTTTTCAATGCTCCACTCTTCTTTGTAGCAATGAACTATTCCCTTTTCTTCTCATTTTCCATCTCCTGATCTGCCACAAACACGTCTTTCCTAATGTCAGTTGGCATCTATAATTTAATGCCAGCATAAGGAGAGATGTACACCATATATGGTAAAACTCAACTTTTGCTTTTGTTTAGTTCTGTTTTACATAATTAAGACATTTTCTCTTACTGAAGGTGATTAACTATGCTATCTGTTGATTGGTTCTTAATAGGAACAGTATATATACCCTATGCTTTATCATATTAATGCTGAATCTTTTCATTATTTAAGAAAATGTCTGGAAATAAATATGGGACAAATGTGGAGACATTGAGGTAGCTTGCTTGATCTTTCTTTCTGGCAGTATCTTACCAAATATCTTTGCTCCATGCTAAAGTGATTTATTTTTCCTCACCAATATTAGAAAGTGCAGGACTCTAGAGTTCTAGAGAGAGATGAGGTTTTACTTGAATTACATGTTTGCTTTTTTTAAGATTAGAAAAAAAATGTGCACTGCAACTTATTTTATTATGGAAAATGAAAAATACAATAGTACCCCAGAGTCTCTGTTGTGAAGCCTGATCATCAGGCAGCTATAAATATGTTTCTTCAGCATTGCAGTTTAATAAAAGACCAGCCAGATGTGTCTACAGCTACTTCGGGGTCAATTTTATTTTGTTTTTTTAATTTATAACCTGCTTTTCTCCCAAATTGGATTTGAAGCAGCATCACACATAGATTAAGAGAGATAGGTTAAAACAGTATGACATACAAAAGTTTTTAAAGTATTTTTAATGCGATTTTCCTGCTTCTTGGCAGGGGGTTGGGCTGGATGGCCCACGAGGTCTCTTCCAACTCAATGATTCTGTGATTCCATGATCAAGTAGTATTTATTTATTTACAGTATTTATATTCTGCCCTTCTCACCCTGAAGGGGACTCAGGGCGAATCGCAGGACATACATACGTAACAAACATTCAATGCCATTTTATACACAACTAGACAAACAATTATACATAGATAAGAGATATATATCAGCTTTCCCCATCTTTAAGCATATTGGAAGGTGTTGGGCTTGATTACGGCCACGGGGGCAGGAGGTGCGCGAACTCTTAAGATATACCAGGGAGGACCTTCTCTAGCTCCCACCACTGTCACAAGCATGATTGGTGAGGACGAGAGAGAGGGCCTTTTTGGTGGTGGCCCCCCACCTCTGGAACACCTTCCCAAGGGAAATAAGACAGGCCCCATCCCTCTCCTCTTTTCGTAAGAGCTTGAAGGCTTGGGTGTTTCCCAATAGGCCCTGGAATTGAGCAGCCACAGGCCCCAGTATTACTGTTGTTGGGACCGGTTATTGCACTTTACCCATTCCCCTGTCCCCCTCATGTCTTCCCTGCACTGGCCTTGGACTGGCCGCCTTAATTTGCCTAGATCCATTCTGAAATCCTGGCCCGAACAATAATTTTGCATGAAAGAATAGGGTAAGATTGGTTTTTAATGTATATGCGTTGTTGTGATAATTTTATGCTTATGGTTTGCATACTCTGTATGTTTTGGTGTTTTGTTACATGGAAACCACCCTGAGTCCTCTAGGCGAGATAGAGGGGTATATAAATAAAGTTTTATTTATTTATAACTTGCTTCAAAAAATACTGAAAACTACCAAAATGTATCACCAGCATTAGTTTACAGATATGCTCTGTTTGATAGCCATTAACTGCTGGACCTCAATCATCAAGGAGAAATAACATCATCGTCAACCACTACAAAAAAAAAAAAAATTCTCAGTAAGCCTCAATGTTCATTTTTCCTGCAATAGAGGAGAATATCTTGGGATAGGATATGCAGTAGACATTTGGACAAAGGGCACGGCCCTTGCTGCTTGCTAACATCTCTTGAGCAAAATGTGCTCAACTATCTTCTGAAGCAGTCCTTGACCAAGGCAAAACTTTGCGAATTCATCACAGCTCATGAAGGATGACACTGATTTTTATGTGGCATTGCTGCAAATAACTGCTGGTGCTGAAGGAGATAGAGATGGCAGGACCCTCAGGCATAGTGGAAGCAAAAGCTCTTTAAATCAGTGAGATGCAGGCATTGATCATTGCGATCACCTGGAAGACATTCTGGGCTATGCTGTGAAAATGAAAAGAAAAGGATGCAAGTTAATAAGAGACCGGAAAGCTTGCAATACGTTTTGTGTGCTTGCAATAAATTTTGATGGCAAACCTGACATGTAGTTCATGTCATTCCTTCTCAGTAAGCTGCCTGAATGAGAACAAAAAAGACTTCGTATCTGCTATTGCACCCGGTGACACATAGACACTTCAGTGAAGTGCAGATGCAGCACTGATGAGTCTGTCTGCAAAAAGCACATCGCTGCAGTAATATTCCCTGAGGTGCATCTACACTGTAGAATGAGTTCAGTCTGACTCCACTTTAACTGCCATGGCTCAATGTGGTGGGATTCTGGGATTTGTAGTAACACTACAATGCCTATGATTCCATCACCTTGAGCCATGGCAGTCAAAGTAATGTCAAACCTTGTTAATTCTAGTGTAGATGTATTCCTAATTTAAATACGTTACATTGAGGGAAAGCACTAAAAATACTTCCTAGAAAGGAATTGAGAAGAACCGTATAGTCTCAGAAAAGGAACGGTCAGGACCATTAGGATTATGTTTGAGATGAGGTGTTGGATAAGGAGGTAATTTTAAAATACAGTAGAGTCTCGCTTATCCAACATAAACAGGCTGGTAGAACGTTGTGTAAGCGAAAATGTTGGATAATGAGGGATTAAGGAAAATGTATTAAACATCAGATTACGTTATGATTTTACAAATTAGGCAGCAAAACATGTTTTACAACAAATGGACAGAAAAAGCAGTTCAATACATGGTAACATTATGTTTTATAGTAACAATACTATATTTATGAATTTAGCACCAAAGCATTGCAATGTATTGAATCAGCTGTGGATCCGGGCGGGAGACAGACTGTGTTGCATAATACAGGACGTTGGATGAGTGAAGGTTGGATAAGCAAGACTCTACTGTACTCTCAGGAAGAATAGGATGTTGCAGTGAGTAGCCATACAGAGCCTGGACTCCTTGGAAAGTCAGTAGGGAAATGTACAATTATCTTGACAGAGGTTTAGGGATACAGAACTGTTTCAGCATGGCTTTGAGGAAAACAAATGTGCTTTTAATATCCAGCTGCAGTACATCCATCCCTTACTTTATCTTCTGTCCATACAGTTTATGAGATTTTGTTAACAGAAACCCTGCAAGAAGCCATGATGTTACATACAACTTTACTGTCACAGATTTTGCACTACAGTTTCAATGTTCAGTCATCATCAATGGAGATGAAGCCAGTTTGGATGTATACCTGCTTTCTGGTTGAGTGCTAGATGGTGTCTATGGATCCCAGTATCAGGATTTCCTTGACTAGTTCAGAACTTGCATGATGACCTGTGTCTTGTCCACTGAAACCTTGCAAAACATTCTTCATCATCTCTTGACCGTAGGCCATGTTTTCTGAAACCAAGACCAGGACTCTGTGGCAAAGTTATCATTTTGAATAGCAACTGAAGAAAAGAATGAAATCTTGTGTAGTGAATAAAGACCCCATATAACTTTGGGCCCCTAGTGGCACAGTGGGTTAAACCGCTGAGCTGCTGAGCTTGTTGACCAAAAGGTCGCAGGTTCGAATCCAGGGAGCGGCATGGGCTTCTTCTGTCAGCCCCAGCTTCTGTTAACCTATCAGTTCGAAAACATGCAAATGTGAGTAGATCAGTAAGTACCGCGCTGTCGGGAAGGTAATGGCGCTCCATGCAGTCATGACCTTGGAGGTGTCTACAGACAACGCTGGCTCTTCAGCTTAGAAATGGAGAAAAGCACCAACCTCTAAGCACGACTGGACGTAATGTCAGGGGACAACCTTTACCTATAACTTCGGAAGGATTTAACCAGTTGAGCCCCCGGTGGTACAATGGGTTAAACCAGGGGTCCTCAAAGTAAGGCCCAGGGCCCGGATACGGCCCTCCAAGGTCATTTACCTGGCCCTCGCTCAGGGTCAACCTAAATCTGAAACGACTTGAAAGCACACAACAATAACAACAATCCTATCTCATCAGCCAAAAGTAGGCCCACACCTCCCATTGAAATACCAATAATTTTATATTTGTTGAAATTGTTCTTCATTTTAATTATTGTATTGTTTTTAAGTGTTTTTTGTGCTACAAATAAAATATGTGCAGTGTACATAGGAATTCATTCATGTTTTTTGCACATTATAATCCGGCCCTCCAACAGTTTGAGGGACTGTGACCTGGCCCTCTGTTTAAAATGTTTAAGGACCCCTGGGTTAAACCCTTGTGCCAGCAGGACAGCTGACTGAAAGGTTTGCTGTTCGAATCTGGGGAGCAGGGTGAGCTCCCATCTTTCAGCTCCAGCTTCCCATGCAGGGACATGAGAGAAGCCTCCCATAGGATGGTAAAACATCCAGGTGTCCCTGGGCAATGACCTTGCAAACGGCCAATTCTCTCACACCAGAAGTGACTTGCAGTTTCTCAAGTTGCTTCTGACACACACAAATAAAAAAAACCAAATTTGGAAGTGCTTACCATCTCTAAAATTCACTCCAGTAAATTTTGCAACTAATCAGAATGAAAAGTGGTTCAGAAAAACAAGACTGTAGTTTTCCAGAGTATCAGGTGGTTGCATTAAAGCCGTAAAATCCTCTTATAATTAATGTGAATCTCACATCCTTTTTTGGTCCGTGTGTGAAATCCACTGAAAGAACTTTAGTATAGTGACTATTACTTTGCCAGTTCATCCATGTGCCATGTGGAGTGGTTAAGTAAAATGTATATAGGTCAGTATATGTTCCCTGTAAACAGCAGTGAGATAACAGGGAGACTTGTTAACAGCAATAACTTCCATAAGTATTTCTGAATTATCTGTAGGATTTCTGGTGTAGGGAAGCAAAATATCTGTACAGCTCTAATACCGAGGATTTTAAAATCTTTTTCTCCTCAGTGTCTTGAACACATGACCCAAGATAGATCTCTCTCCCCTAGGGATTTGCAGAGCTGTCGTTCCTCTATTGCCTTGGGAATACTCTCTGCCTTCAATACTAGCATAATTTAGTAAACATCTGAGGATTTCTCCTGGGAAGGTATTTGGTCGGAAAATTGAAATGCAGGATGGAAGAGCTTTAAAGTAGTTTTGCCTTGAACTTGTACTGTGAAGATTTGCAGATTTCTAGCTTTATATTTTGAGTGCCTCAAAAATCATTAGTTGAAGAAATATATGATCAGTTAGATTATATCTTTGACCCCCATTTCTTGATTGACAGGCCAATGTCACCCTTTTCGAACGCTGAAAACATTTTGCTCTTTTATCCTGCTGTCAAAATCAAAAGTTACGAATAAAGGGCTGAAAAGTCTTCTGGTCTTATCTTTAAGACTAGAAGAAGCTTTCTGAACTCCTGAGTTTTCAGTCTCCCAAGAATATTGACTAATTTTTATAAATACAGGCATAGGTAGAAGCCTTTGCTAAATTATCTTTGAATTCTCAAGGAAATGTTACCTTCGTGAAGGTCAAGATAGGGATGCAATGTTGTTCACAATGTGTGCAACCAGTTAAATTGTGGGGTTGTCCACTGGAAAGACAGCCTAGAAGTCCACAGACTCATGAAGCAATTTTTACAACTGTATGCATGTATGTTCAAATTATAATCAGTAAGCAAAGCTGTTGATGCCAAAGACTCCCCAGATTTGGAAAAAGGCTCTTCCTGGTCTAGTGGTGTCAAATAGATGCTTTCTACAGGGAAGCGGTTCTGGAAATAGATACCTTGTTTTTGTGGGATGAAGGGGTCTACCAAGACAGCAATGAAGTCCTGGAACACCTTGGAATCTCGATTAGAAACTGTACTGCCCTTGAATTTCTGTTTGGAGTGGAGCTTAGTACAGTTAAGCGCCAGTTGATCTACTTAGAGGCAGCCACTTCATGTTGAATCAAAGGAAGAGTCATCAGACTGACTGATATGTACTGAAGAGGTTCTATTATAATTCTATAGTTTTGTGGGAATGTTGTGAACTGTAAAAGGTCAGAAAGCGAAGATGTTGAAAGACTCAGCCGTTGATGCTTTCTGTACCAAATAGAGTGGATTGGCTACATTGCATCCAACTAGGACATCTCTCTCAGGATTTGGTGAGAAGGTAGACAGTGTTCACCAACATAGGATTCCTGGAGAAACACATAATCTTCCTTAATGAAACAGGCTCCAGGAAGAAGTCCCATCCTCCAGTAATCTCTCTCCTTCTGAGAGTGGTAGGAAAAGGGGCCTGATATCCGCCCAAGATTGCTCCTTCCCTGGAGAGGACCTTTATTCTTGACTCAGGGTGATAAGGATGACCATGACTTTGTTATGTCAGATGCTCTCAAAAATGTTCCCCTGGTGGTTTCTTTGCCCCATTTGGAGTAAGAAGCTGTGCCTCTCTTCCAGCACCGTATATCTCTTAAGGGCCCTGCGACACTCCGTGGCCCAAACATTGAGAAATCCAGCTCACCTCCGTGTCCTAAAACCCAAACAGACCAGTGACCATCTCTTCGTAAGGCCTGTGCTGCTCCTTTCAGAGCTGCTGGCACTCTGAAGAGCCTCCCATTGTTAGCCTGATGTTTGTACCCTAAGGCCCTAGGCTGAGCAAAAGGCAGGAGGGAACCATGCATCATCCCTTTGCTCTCTTCTTTTTTATAGGGCACTGTATATGTGAAGTCAAATAGCCCTGTGGCAGAATAAAACCTCTGAAGAAAGAGGAAAGAAACTGGTCAGAGTAAAGGTTGGGGGACCTTTTCAGAGACTGTTCCATGAGAGAAGAAAAAGTAAAAGTTGAACAAAAAAAGGGGGGGGGGGAATCCCTCCTTTCCAAAACTAGGAAGAGAGAATCCCTGAGGGAGATATGCAAATTATATGCTGAGCAGAGATAAAAAAAAAGTAGGTTCCTCCTTCACTATGGAACATACTCTGAGTATTACTTACATATTCCTCCCCATCAGATCAAATGGGTTGACAAGCTGATCATCCAAGATGCCCACAGGTAAACTAGTGTAGTGTTTTCATAAGTTGTTGATGTGGAAGACCGATATTTTCCCCCTCATGTGCTAATGACAAGCACCATATTCATGCCCAGTAGCTACAATTGTTTCTTTCTGTCAGGCTCACGGACCAACAAAAGTCCATGGACTACTACTTCTAGTATGCTTTATAAGAACTTGTGCCTGCACTTTTGTTAGGAACTTTTCTTTTTAATATCATATGAAAGGGTATGGGTTTTGTGGGGGTATAGCTTGCTATTTACACTATACAAAACAAACTAGTTGACATTTGAATTAATTGTCAGGTTTATTTTTTCTCCTCTAGTTAACAATTACATTCACTTCAAACTTGAATTCCCAATTAATTGCAGAAGTGGTGGCTGGGAAAGGTAAAATAGTCTATTCTTTTCAGCATTCACCTTTTCCCACAAGGCAAGTTCATCTTACAGAGGTCTCAACCACTTAACTTAAATGTCACTATTTATATTATTAATGAAATGTAGAATGGGTTAAACAGATATGGATAATGGCTAGTAACTTTTTAGGACAAGACATAATTGATTTGTAATATGATAGATTGCATACACTAAGGACCTCATCACACTAGAGAACGAATCCACTTCAAATCCAGTTTCTGCCTCCTGCAGAATTCTGGGGTTTGTAGTTTAGGGAGGAGCCTTTAGCAGCCTCATGAAACTACAAACCCCAGAATTCTGCAGGAGGCAGAAACTGGATTTAAGGTGGGCTCATCCTCTAGTATGATGAAGTAGTAAGTGTAGCACCCACTTGAATACTATTATCTGATTGCATGATAATAATGTAAGCTTTACTTTGTTTAAAAAGCCCTAAATACATGTTGATAGCACAAAAGGAAAGGAAAAAAGAGGAAGTTTTTTCAAGATAAATGGAAAATGTATGCAATGTATAAAATTTTGGTTTTAATTACATCCCGTTTGATTTTGAAAGGCTTCGCTGTAAACCTTCAGGTGATTTTGTCCAACCCTAAAGCGGTATTCAGACGCCACGGGTCACAGCCTGGGATGCAGGAATCTGATTTTCTGAGGCAAATCACCACAATGGAAGAACTGGAGCCCAAAGCCAACAATTGCACAAAGGTAATCATTCCACTATTACCTACAGAGACTTCCCTTTTGATGATGATGCAGAACTAAGGGTTTTCTTCTTCCATTTTTCCCCCCAGGTTCTTGTATGGCACACTCGAACAGAAAAGGTCAATCTAGCTAATGAGCCAAAGTATCATGCGGACAGTGTGAAAATTGAAGTATGACACATAAGCATAAAATGGGATATACCCAAATGAACAAATGCAATCCGTTATGCCTCCCGGATGGTTACATCTTCAGACTGTACAGTTTGCTATTCAGCAACATCCTTTACTGGTCTAATGAGACTTCTGTCAAATGTCTCGAGATGTATGTACTTTGGTCTCCTCTTGTTTTGCATGTGTTTATCCAACCTGTTTTAGTATTTTAACAATTTAGTTTTTTTATTGCATTGCAATTGAACACTTGAAAATGCTGATTTAAAAAACATAAATTATCATTTAGAATGGCGGCTTTCAGATAATGGATGTTCAGCATTTATTTGTTCTTTAATTAAAGGGTTTTGTTTTTAAGAACAGTAGTCAAAAGACCTTATAGAATGAAATAATCATAGAATATGTATGGATTTATTTAATATAGGGAAGCAACAGCTCATCAGTACGAGGCACCATAAAATGTAAACACAATTACTGGCATAAACCTGGATACAGCTGGAAAGACAAAATTAAAATTATTCAGTGGCGCAAGTTACCCTGTCTGTATGCTGTGTCACATACTTGAGATTAGCCTGCTGTACACGCTGTTGTAGCCAAATTGTGTATTTTGACACCGGAAACCAAATAATTAACTGCTGTGGTAAAAGAAACAGATGGAGTCACAGTGACATCCAGGTTTATATCATGTTCACCCACCACTTACTTTCCTCTGTTCAGCACATCATCGTAAGATCACAGTGAAGTGAATAAGGAAACAAAAATCATTGTTACACAAGGAAAAAAAAACATTCTCCAGTGATACATATACACTCTTATTTATATGATTAACATTTGTTCATACAGTACCTTCTACAGAATTACTGGGTAATTTGCAGGGTGGCGTTTACATATTAGAGATAGGACTATCATGATATCTATTTTCCCTTACATGGAAACATTGGATCTATAACTGATAAAAAATAATTTGAGTATGTGGTTGGTCGAACAGCTCTTCTGCAAGATATGCTTCGCGAGATCAAATGCACCGTGGAACGAAGAAAGCTGCCCATGATGGGTGTTTTCAACCTCCTTTTCACTACATCAAAATTGTTTAAAGTCAATACAGACCACAACACGGTCAGTTAAGATTACTTCTTAATAGGAACAAGGGAAAATGTACATGGACAGACCAGGAAAACTAGATGCGTTCTGAGTATGGAATGTCAGGTCTTGATGAAAGCTCTAGTGCTGTTTTCATTTCCAGAGTTGTGTGCTGAGAGTCTGGCCTGAGGAACCTCCAGTCCATCCGGCCACAGTGTTTGGGGGCTGGACAAAGCCCATCATGTTGCCAGAACTACTCAGATTCATTCCAGCCATTTGCTGATTCATCTGTGAAACGTACAGTTTCAATTAGTACATGGTTATTCAAATCTCATACTAAAGTTCAAAAAGAAACACCCACCTTTTCTCACTACATTTCACTATACAATCCCAGAAATAGATATCTTTCCATTGTAACAAAATATTTCACTTCATAATAGTTGCACTTTTTATCCCTTTTTTCAACTGATGGGGAAAAAATCTGCCTTTGATTCTACAGATTCTGTTATTAAAAAAATAAAATCAACCCTCTTACTTCCGAGACAGGAAGAAGAATGATCCAGCCTCAAACAGCTCTGTTTCTGTTTGGGTTTTTTTGGCTGCTTTGCCTCAGAGAATGGAGGAAGGAAGACTTTCCCTTCCTTATTCTTTCTCCAAAGGCAAGGCAGTTTACAAAATTTGAAATTGAGCTCTTTGGAGATTTAAAAAAAAAGGGAGGGGAGAGATCTGAAGGAAGCTCCGGGAAGCTCGAGACCTTCATTTTATAGTTTTTTAATTGCCTTGCTTTCAGGGAGGAAGGAAGGGAGAAGCAACCAGCTCCAAATGTATTAAGCCCTTGCTTAATGGGTTAAACCCTTGTGCTGGCAGGACCGAAGACAGAGAGGTTCAAATCCAGGGAGAGTGCAGATGAGCTCCCTCTGTCGGCTCCAGCTCCCCATGCGGGGACATGAGAGAAGCCTCCCACAAGGATGGTAAAACATCTAAACATCCTGGTGTCCCCTGGGCAATGTCCTTGCAGATGGCCAATTCTCTCACACCAGAAGCAACTTACAGTTTCTCAAATCGCTCCTGGCATGAAAAAAAATTGCTTCATTTATACCCCGCAGGGGACTCAAGGTAGCTTACAACTCCAGCAAAATTCAATTCCACTTAAAGACAACAATAAAATAAATCCCATTAACTAAAACTATTAAAACAGTTAAGCAAATAAAATACATAGAACAATAAGCAGATTAAAAACATATAAAGTGCATAATTCAGTTCATCCAGCATCCTTGCTCACAATCCTTATTCAGACTGTGTCGGAATCCGTATAACTTATTAAACTGGTAGCTAGTGAAGCTGATGCAACAGGAGGGATGTACGCTGCACCAGTTAGAAATCTGGCTGCTATCTTTGGACTAATTGAAGCTTCCGAGCCGTCTTCAAAGGCAACCCCACATAGAGCACACTACAATAGTCAATACAAGATGTAACAAGAGCATGGACCACCGTGGCCAAGTCTGACTTCCAAAGGTACAGGCATAACTGGTGCACAAGTTTTAATTGTGCAAAAGTTCCCCTGCCCACCGCTGAAACCTGGGCTCCAGGCTCAAATGGTTCTGTGACAATTATGCAAGGAATACAAAAACACCTTTGCCATCCCAAAAATGGAGGTGTGGCTATTATTCTATGGTGACTACTATGTGATGAAATACGGATAGATAAATTTCAATTGTAACCAAGTATAGATACATAAACAAATTGTTTTCAAAAATAGCAGTAGAGATCCTTCATTGGGAGTAGGTTACATAGCTCCATCTCTGTAGCTACAACTCCCTATGCTGATCCTTAGAAACTCACATCTTTTAAGCACTAAGCAGCCCAATCTTGAAAGCAGAGCTGGCAAAGATGGGCAGGGATTCATCCAGCTATTTCCCTTTTAGTCAAACATAGTTTGTTGCCCACCTACAGAGACCTTTGAGGGTCCTCAGGGGTCTGCAGATGATGTCCTTGCAGCATATCCAGATGGACAACCCATATCCAACAACATGGCCACGGACAAACTATGTCACTTACAAAGCGAGTTGGAAGGGATTCTGGACAAAAATCTGATTTCTGCAACCACCAAAAATATGAGTTCCAGTAACTCTGATTTATGTAATTGTAATTCACTAACAGGATGCCATGCAAACATGTAGCTTCTGAACTGACTTATCAATACTTTTTAGATAACTGTTTGAACCCCTTAGTGTTATCTAAACAAACTTAAAACTGGATGCATTAGCTTACTACCCTTCTAGTGTATAACTCTCCATTATCTAAGAATATTTTAACATTTCATCTCATTTTTCAGTTTCAATTTAAAATTATATCCCACCTGAGAAAGATTCCACTGAGTTGGTTGAGTTTGCTGCATACCAAATTTTTGTGGTGGAGCTACCTGCCCCACCATCGTTCCTTGGGGCCCACCAACGTTTTGAGGAAGTCCCAGAGGAGCAGTTTGTGTCGGGACAGAAAAGCCATTAGGCATGCCCATGCCGCCCACCATCATGCCTGCGTTCTGTCCCATGACAGGCACGGACTGTCCCATCATGTTCCCCATCATCGCAGGAGCTGCAGGTACAGAGACTGGTACAGGCACTCCCATGGCGGGAAACCCCTGGAAATGTGCTGCTGGCTGCGCAGGAAAGGCCAAAGGCTGTGGTCCCATGAATACACCTACATTGGATAAAAAGGAGGAGAGGGGAGAATTCATTCTATCAATGAACTGAAACAAAGCCATTCCACCTTTCTAAAGCGTAATGTATAAAACTTCAGTTGTATCTGTCAAAAACTGTTATCCACATAAAGAGTACTGATAGAGTGGAATGTCCATCCTAAAATCCACATGAGGCACAATGAGGTTGGCCTGGAAAATCATTAGTGACACCCCTATGCTCTTGTAAATTAAATGGATTTATTTGGATTTATTATTAGAGGTGTGCAATTTGCCCAAAAGGCAACCTGTTTCAGGGTCCATTGTCAGCTGACCCTTCATTCTGTTTACCAGGAAGTTACTCAAAAGGGGAAGGGTGTTGCCGTTTTCATTCGGCAAAGATTCAGCCCATTGGCTACAATGGGAAATTTAAATGCTCAATTCTCAGTCATTTTAAGTCCTACCTGCACAAAACCTACCTCAGTTTTAGACCCCATTTATAACTGCAGGCCTGCCAAGTTTCAAAACAATTCACCAATCTACTGATCTTTTTATAATTATTTTAAGTTTTAAACATAACATTTTTAAAAATAAAACAAAACTCAAGAGAGTGTTCTGGGAATCGTATTCGTCGGTTGTGTCCATTCTCAGCCAATCAGAGCATGGACACATCCAGGCTTTTTATTGGCTGAGAAACAGAGAGAGAGTGAAACTTCAACTCCCATCATGCTCCGAGAGGAGAGTTTTCAATGCCCACTCTATGCAAGTGCTGCTGGGAAAGCGAGTTCCCAGCAGGGCCCTCTCTGGAGGAGGAGCCTAGGAAACTTTCCAAAAAGACAAAGGACACAACAGATCTCTGCCTCAGGTATACTGCAGATTTAACCCTTTCCTATCCAGGAACTGGATAAAATCCTCCCTCAATTTGTTTTGCTGAGCTTTTTGGCTCCCTCCTCACCATTCTGTTTTTGATGATTATATAAAAGGGCTCACTGAATACTACAAATCATTTTTGTTCAAACTGATTTGGGCCCAAGCCTATTTATTATAAAGAGAATGCAGATAGTAGCCACTGGTGCCCCAACAGAAGTCATGGCATCTCTTGCTTTAATTATCTTTCATCTCTTCCTGAGGAAGATAGGAAAAAAATGATTTCTGTGCCCCCCCCCCCTTTCCTCTTCTTTGTTCCTTTTCCACTTTAAGACAGAAGAGCCTCTTTTCAAGGCACCCACAGAACTTCTTTTGATAGCAGGCCTCAGGTCTGGAAGATTGGTTGTTCCAACTGGACTTTGTCCCTATTATTCCTCCTTCCAAATTGGCTTCTATGTTCTGTTTCAAAACACCTGATGTGAACCTTCTGCCATCTTTAAACACTTCAAGACTTAACTGTTTTTCTTTAGACTTGTGGTTTGATATTTTAGAGTAGCCCACCCCCCCATTAATTCATATAGCAGGGTGAGGAGCAACCATATCTCTCAAGTTGCTTTGAAAACAGATTTGAAAAGCAAGCACCTGGAGCATTTTGTGATGGCATAGTCCCGGCACCATACAGTGACAAAATGGAGTCCTTGGAGAGCAGTTTCTTTGCTGACTCTTCGGATTTTGTTTGTTCGGTGAACAGATTGAGATCTCCTGATGCAGCAGATAAAGTGGAAGCTACTGGGTTGGTGGAAGCACTCTAGAAAATAAAAGCCAAAGGAGATCACTCAATCTTTTATCAATGAATAAGGTAAAATAGTACAATATTTGAATATGGTGATGCAGCAGGTTAAACTGC